AAAGAAGAAAATTGGCTCCAACGGAGGGGGGGGAGGCATCCAAGTGCTGCGGCAGTAGCGGGAGACATAGCCAACTCGGTGACAGCGGAAGCAGATTGGCTTGTAGTCTGTTGTTCTTCACTCCATCGGATTGCGGGATCTGGGGAGAGTGTATGGGTCGTGGTAAGGTGCATTTATTGGCATCGGTCATTAGTCCAGTCGGGAGATAGAGCAGGCGACAGGAAAGCCAAGGTTAGCAATTTCTTGCCGCACGACTGCCTGAATAACTGACACCGCCCGAGGTGTCTGCACGGTGCCCTGGTCGAGTGGAAGTGCATGAAACGGGGCCGGACCTGCCACCTCAAGATCGCGCCGAGCGATGCGTGTGACGTTCTCGTGCAAGGGTGGTGCGGCACCGAGATCGGTACAGGTTGACGTGACAGCGTGTTAGGGAGCCGTGAAAATTGAGGCCGAACTCGGCAGTTTTTTGGCTATTTCGAAGTGGCGGCATTCCTTAATTATTATATCGACGGTCGTGACGTTGTTGTACACGAGCAAGTTGAAAGCGTCGTCCGCGATGCCCTTTAGCATATGGCCCACCTTGTCGATCTCGGTCATTTGCTCGTCCACTTTGCGGCACAACGCGAGCACGTCCTGCATGTACGAGACATAAGACTTGGTGGACGACTGTACTCGGGTGGCGAGTTCTTGTCGTGCGGTCGTTTGTCGACCGGACGGGTCTCCAAGGACGTCACGTAGTCGGTCCTTGAAGATGTCCCAGCTGGTGAGCTCGGCCTCATGAGCTCGAACCATACACGCGAAGTGCCATCCAAGTAAAAGATTACGTTGGCGAGCGTCATGGTTAGGTGCCATCGGAGAGACAGGCTAACGCGCTTATACATGCGGAGCCAGTAGTCGACGTCAAAGCCAGGCTGAGTGGAGAACGTACCGGGATCACGGGAGTGGGACATCGCAAGGTACGTAGTAGCTGGCGCTCCAGGTCATGGCGGTGAGAGGGGGTTATCATCAGAAGCCATGGCCGGAGGCTGGACGGTGCGGCCACTGCGAAGCTTCGTGGTGAGGACGGGAAACGTTCCACCTCCACCAAATATGTTACGAAAGAGAGACGCCGTATCGACGAGACTGTGGATGAAATATATTTCAAACCAGCAGCAGCACCAGCGTGACCGGTAGGCTAGACAAGACAAGATCCTTGACGATGTGGCGACTACCCACGCTGGGGGATTGGCCAATACCGGATAGATTTCATGAATTGCTTCTTTAATAACAGATTAAAATTAATACATTTACGAGAAATAAAAGAAAGATGCAACAAGACGAATTTGATGGTTGAATTGTAAATAATCTGTAGTGTAATGCAATAAAGCGTCGTATTGGATATAATATGAATTTGGAAATTTGAAAATGTACCGATCAATGATTTCAACACTTAAACCTCTTTGAACTTTTGACGAACTCCTGCAATGCGTCAACCATCTTCCCGTCGCTGTGGCCTAGATACAAAACCCCGAAATAAAGCACATTTTCAGCATTTAAATATATTCCGTGAAGGTGGCAAACGGTACTTGAAGTGTGTTTACGTAAGGCAGAGAATCTATTACAATAAATGAGAAAATGTTCAACTGACTCATTTACTCCACAAACAGGACAATGAGTGAAGGCTGCCACACCAGCTCTGTGTAAATATAAATTCAGCTGTGGAATTTGACAGCGCAGTCTAGTGATTGCGACTTCCGTTCCTCGCGTTTGAGATATTTTACTATTCCAATGGTATACCAAGTGCTTGAATCCTAGTGTGAATGTTAGTGAAGGTGTGGAAAATTCCTCTAGCAGTAGCTTCCTTCTTAATCTAGCGCCTATCAAGGATTTCGATGCTGGTAATACATCAACAACAGGCCCATTTAACTTGGCCAACGCATCTGCCATTTCATTCATATAAATGCCCTTATGTCCAGGAACCCAGACCAGTTTGATCAGATTGAGATGCGACAGAACCATAGCTTTAAAAGCACTCTGAGCATGCGAGTTCTCATATGCAGTAAGGGAGGCACATACTGATAGTGAATCTGTTAAAATTATTGCGGCTCTTACTGAAGCAGTTATTTTGCGGAGAGCTAGAATTATCACAAGCAATTCTGCTTCAAATATGGGCAAAAAAAATCGGGAAGGCGAAGCGAAAAGGACCAGTCAAGGGCAGGAGAAAAAATACCAATTTCACATTTTTCTTCCCTTTGTGACGCATCAGTTGCCATGACTGCTTGTATTTCCGGCAAACAGCCACCAGGCTGCCGGAGCTGCTGGAAGTAGCACTTCTGCAGCAACTGTTGCTGCTCAAGTATGCAGGACACCTAGGTGGCGGCCAGATGGCTGTTCTGGAAAAGGCCGTGGCCGTGGAAAATGCAATTCATGCGGAACTCCTGAAAGAACACGCAGTCCGTGTCTGGCTTTTGCAGGAGGACCACGATTACATGATGCTGGAACGGGTTGACAAAAGAAAGCATGAAAATCAAGTGCGAGAGCTTGAGGTTTCAAAGCAGAAAAACGAGCTTGAAAAGCAAGTACTTGAGATTGAAATACTACAGATTGAAAAAGAATTAAAGAAGGAACAGCTCCGCAGGCTGTAATGTAATGTGCCTCATTTGTAAATAAATTAAGGGATCTCTCATAAAATGATGAAACCATGTGAGTGTACATTTTTATGCATCAATGATAAGCAGATGGGCCTGCACAGCAGCCCTAAGAAGAGGATGTATGGTTGAGTGTCGAGATATAAGCAGTTTTTGCGTATGTGAAGCTTTTGCGTATGAGCAGGTCCCGCGCTTGATTTCTTGAACGGCTGTCGGCGAGGCAATCAACAGGTGGCAGGTGCACTGCTCTCGTTGCCACTGTACTGATAGGGGAAGGCTGTGGAACCCTTTGAGCGGGTGGCTCTGGTTCCCTTAATAAGCAGGCCAAGTTGTGGAGTGCAGCACTAGTTGTGATTGTGCTGATGTTTTGATAATTTGTTTTGATAATTGAAAAGCACTTGCTCCACCAGTGCACTTTGGCGTCACCTTCTTCGTTTTGTGCAGGGCGTCTTTCTCGCAGCATTCTCATAAATGTAAGCACGCCAAGCGGTCTTTGTGAAGCAAAAGTTGGTGGAGGAGGCAGCATTATTCCGGCAGGAAATGCATGCCTGCGAAAGCTGGACCTGGATGTTGGCGGCCACGCCCTTCGTATCCTTTCCAAAGCATTAATTGAGAGCTTCGTATAGGTTTAGGCAGAATGCATAGGCCAAAGCTGAACACGGCAGCATGATCACATCTCGTTTATCAATGGAAAGGCTTGTCAGGGCTCACATTCAGTGTCCTTGCGTAAACACAGTCACTGCTGCCGTAGTCGCAGACCAATGCTTAGACAGAGAGGCCATACACCTTCAGTTCAACGATTAGCTTTTTCAATAGCATTGTACGGTGTTCCAAGCGAATTGTACTCTCTTTTATTGGAAGGGCTTCTGGCTGTATCCATTTCTTTGTTCCAGAGAATAATGCTGCTGCTGCAGTGTTTGCTGCTCCATTTAAATCTTTTCTCTGGTATTATTAACATATCCATGTATGATTGCTTTCTTTGGGTCATACTGCAGATTTAAGTTTTATAAAGTTTCATGAAAAATCAGGCAGCAAGGTCTTTCTTGAATTTCCCAACTTTTTCTGCCTTTTCTTTGATTAGCTCAAGAATCTGAGACAGCATTCTTGTTTTTATGTTTACAGCTTACAGCCACGTTATGGGCATTCGTTCGTTATTTTACTGTGGCACTGTTGGTGTTATCTGTTTCTGCCACTAATTCAGCGTAACATTGCAAGGTTGTTAGCTTTTTGTCAAGCTATTGAGTTATGTTATTCAGTTACGTTAGCTCTTCAGTAAATATACTTGTGAGTGCACTTATGCCTCCAGTTTTCTGTACTCATGTGGCTGTTTTTCAATGCCGCGCATTTCAAGTGTATTGCTGGCAGCCACGTAGTCTTTGTTGGCCCCACACCATTTCTCTCTAATTGAATTGACAGTGTATAAGAATGTTCTGACATGGTCAGCTGCCTTTAACAGAACATTTATTCTGTGCACAGCTAACTTGTGCTTTTAATGACGGGAGCTAATAGCTTGGCCGGGCCATGAAAAAAGTACTGTTTTTTGGTGACCATAGAATATATACATCAAGGTATGCTGTAAGATATTTCGCTAATGCAGTAGTGTGTATACATGAGTGTAAATATTCATAATTGCTCCTTCATGTAACAATGAAGAAAACTCTTGAGGCTAGAATATATTTTTCATGCATTATTTATTGAAGCTGTTCAGCATTTCTACAATGAGTCTATTATCTTCTTGAGCCTTTCAGTTCGTGGAACATCATATTTTTTCGTGCATCATTTAATGAAGTTGCTTAGCATTTTGTGCATGTATCTTCTTGAGCCTTACAGTCCCTGGAACACCATTTTTTTTTTTCATGCATCATTTACAAGTTGTTGAGCCTTTCAGTCCCCGAAACATCACTAAGCATCTCTTGAACATATTTATCAGGGGCGTCTCTGCAGAACAATGAGCGAGACTGCTGAAAACTTTTAAGCATATATAACTTTATCCACCTGACAAAGTTTGACATCAATAGATTATGAAAAATTTCTTAAGTCTGATATACTCTTCAAGGTGCTTGTTTGGGCTAGTTGCTCCTCCATGGAGCTGCTAAGTAGTGCAAGCTTCAGAGATGAGAGACGAGAGAATGGGACTCTTATACTCACTGTAAACCGTCTCCAACTTCAACGGTGCAAGTGCTCCTCTGGGCAGCATCTGATTTTTTTTTAGTGTGAAGCGCTGACACGGTGCTTCTGTTATGCTTCTGTTTCTGAAATCTCTTGACACCCCACGGCAGCTTTGTGTACTTCTTTCTAAAAAAGCGAGTCTTTTGACCACGACAGCAGCCATGCCCATTTTGCTTTGTTAGTAAAGGCTTTATTTTTTCCCAGGATAACCTACGTGGAATAATGCAGACTGACGTCCAGAGTCAAGTGAAAGCTTGACTTTAGCTATGACATGGCTATGACACTTCATTGGATGGGACCTAATTACTCTGGCTGTGAATAATGGTGAGTCTTTGGCAATTCAACAGTCCCATAACCTAAATGAGTCCTTCGAATAGATTTATTTGGTGCAGGTGCACGACAACTACTTTTTTCCAGCTCAATGGAAACTGCTATGCGTGATGTCTTTTTAGGCGACAGCAAGAACAATATTACAAATTATGTGAAGGCCTTGGTGTCACATGTATTTTTTGCAATGCAGTGTTAAATGGACTTTCTAGTTAAGTCTTCTAGTTCTCTGATCAAAGTAAAAATAGGAGCAAGACAAAAGCAGTGAGGAAGAAAACAGAAATAAGCATGAGTAAGAAAAATAGAAAGTAAACGGAGTATAAAACTGTAAAAATGAAGAGCAGTTGCATGCACGTTGCAGGCGTTCTATTTCCCATGGAGGAAAAGATACTCCTTTGTTTTAAGCTAACTGCATTGCAGCTTGGGCTGTAGCAAGCTATTCACTCATGGGTGTCATTTTGGTGTCAATCGGAGCGTACTCTTTGACATACGCCTTGATTTTTTTTTTTTTTTTTGAGTCAAGCAAATCTGTGAGGAATGGTGGCCGACAGCTTCACTAATTATGGCTTGGTTCTAAGTTGTGCTTGCTCATCAATGTGATGCAAGCAAAGATGCTAATTGTTGTATCCTGCGCCAGACGCGACGCACGGCACTTTGGGCCTGGCGCTTGTAGTGCCGGCTGGGGAAAAGGAGAAATGGCACGACTGAGACCTGGGCGGAAACTTCTTCACTATTTACAGCTCGCTATATGCATTGGTACAGTGCCCCTGGGGGGGGGGGGGGGGGGGCAGAGAATTGGTCTTTAAACTGTAACTGTAACCTATATACCACATCATCCTCTCTCCCTCCCCCCCCCCCAAATTAAAGAGAGTACAGTTGAACTCCGCTACAACGCACGCCTTCAGGGGGGGAGGTGGGTCTTTAGACAACTTTTCTTATATTTAGTGCCAGATAGATAAGAATGGGCAGTCTTGAGGAGTTTCTTATGCTGATTTCAAATCTGTAATTAGTTTTTTGATAGCTGCAATAGTTCATAAAATATTGATGTCTGAAATCAAATTAGTTTCATACTCGTTATGGGGCTTTATGAAAATTTAGTCTTGCTAAACCAAAATCTGAATGCATGACACTGTTGCTAAAGATCTACTGTAGGCGGTGATGCTATTTTTATTCATTCGGAAGCATTTTACATGAAAAAAAAAGGATCATGAAATTACTATGAACATTTTTTTCTAATTAGCCGCCACTGCTACACCTAACTGTAAATTTCATGGAAGTGCACGAGTGATGAAAACAGCATCACCCCGCAGATCATTTCAATTTGAATATAATGATACCACATTTGCCACTTTTCGCTCAAATATAACACAGAAAAAACACTCGTAAGACTGAGTACGGTGTGCAAAAACATCGAACTGAGAAAAACGCATTTGAAGTTTCAACCCAAAGTAGCTTTTCTTGAAATTAACTTATCACAATACAAATGGTACTGTTTTGTAGCTCTGTGTTTTGTGAACATGGCCGTACTAAATGTGTGACTGCAGACTCTCAAAATAATAGTTCAGTGGCCACCGAAACGGCATGAGAAACTGTATTTACAACGCTGTGTGTCTGTTTCAGTACACAGCAAGCAAAATAGCACTTGAACAGCATGGTAGCAAACACTTGAATAGTATAATCAAGTGGCTCTTTTATAGACAGCATATCTACGCACAATGTTCCAGTCCAAAATGCAATTTTCGTCGGAAAATTTCCACTGCTGTCCACTGAAACTGCCCTACAGCATACCAGGACTGTAGGCCGAGTCTCTTGCTGGTTTGTGTCGCTTTGCAAGGCCGGATTTTGTTGAACAGCTGTCAGTGTGCTTTTTCTTAGACTTCTCCAGCCTGATGTTGTCTTTTTCGAGGCTGCGGAGCACTGAGCGATCTCCAGGGCTGTACCCTAGTTTTTCCGCAATTCCCGCATTGCTCCTCGTGATACCTTGGTTGAAGCGGCTGACAGCTTCAGCCACTGCCTTTTCGATGCTGTGCAATGAGGCGTGCTGCGTTTTCGAAACCTGCTGCCAAATCACAGAGTGCAAGCTTTCACTGGGGTTCTGCGTGAGGCCGTCGCTGCACCTTTTCAGAAGGGCTGTCTCACTGAGGCGCGTGAACACGGGCTCCAGTGCCTCGCACATAAAGTCGGGCAAGCTATGGTCGTGCGGCGGCAGCTCCTCATTGTTGGCCTCAGCCCTGTTGAATTTGCACTATGACTCGGGGCCTTCAGGACAAAGCTCATGCCTGGGTGTCTGGTCAGTGGATGACATGTGCTTCAGCGTGGCCAGCACAGCCTTCTGCATCCCTGGCACATCATGCTTGTGACTGCGCAAGGCATAACCATAGTAGGAGGAATCTTCTTGATTTTATCCTGAGTCAGCCTGCCCTTACGACTAAGTGGCTGACCTTGAGCTTTTTTTTTGTCGCTGAGGGTACGCAAGGCTGCAAACATTCGTTTATGCACATGGTTTATGCAGTCTTTTTTTGCCACCTTGATGTAGCCGTAGACTTCATTTGTTGTGAGAGCGTGGTAGGTTTTGCTGTCCCCATCTGAAAGCATTGTCGTATATTGAAGCTTATGCTTTTCGAGTGACCGCTGGAATAACAGAATTGCTGCTTCCACTTTCATTTGACCAGCCTTGCAATCAATATTTCTTTGGCACACAGGTGCATGATCAACAAGCCAGGCAGCGTATCCTTCGTCATTTTCTTTAGGTCCCAAGGTGCACCCCAAACAAAAGTTTGACAAGACAACATGGTCTATCACTAAACATGTATACATCTCGATGATGCACCCGACACATATGTGTGAAGTGTCCCCACGGGTCAACCAGGTGCCATCATAAATCACGTCGATGTTCCCGGGTGCGTTGCCCAACTCCGCATACAAGTCCTTGATGCAAGCAACACTAGCACCTTCACACTCGGTGGCAGTGGCACTGCAGGCTTTCTGCATTGTTTTCATGTGGCTTTGGAAGGTTTTGTGGTGCAGGCCTCGATGAGATACATTCATGGCAGCAAAAAAGTCTGAGAGAGCTGTTGCCCCCTTACCGATGCTGCTGATGGCCTTCATTGCACGCAAATTGACTTCAAAAGGCCTAATCTTGGCCTCACTGTCGCCGGCTACTCTTGGGGACGAAAAACGGTCCTCGCGGAAGTCGCAGTCACTGCACGAGAGCACAAGCTTTGAGCACAGGCCGTAGTCTTTTTTTCCCCCCCGAAAAAGTCATGCTTTGCGCGCCACACTCGGGGCACACGACGAGCCCAAACAACGAGTTTATCACGACTATGTCAACGATTGAGAATTCCGTGCCGTTTTCTTTGCCGTTGTCCTCCAGTTCAACGTCGAGTAGCTTGAACTTTCGTTCCGTCACGCACTGTGATGCCAAGGTCTCCTTCAAATCCGCCGCATTTCTAGCGCGCTCGGCTGTCTCCTCCGCACTGAAGAACATCGTGTCGACACGGTCTTAAATATTGCATGAAGTACCAGGTGACCCGATAATGCGATCACCCGAGAAAATGCTGCAGCTAGGGCCAGGCGAGAGCACCACCGCTGGCACCGCTTCGGCTACAACAGGTAGTTGCCGCAGCGTGCTGTCATCGGAAAGAACTCCCTCGGCCACATCAGGAGCTCTTGGCAGCACGTTATCGTCGCCTTCCTTCCGTTGCGCGTTCCACGCACGCCGTTTTTTCTTGCCGTACGCTTGACGAATCTTCTTTTTAAGCTGAGGGTCTCCGCTCACACAGGCCATAGCATTGAAACGAAAGGCAGAGCACCACACGCGCGCGCAACAGCAACCACTGCGGCGGACCGGTGGAGCAAGAAAAAAAAAAAAAAAAAAAACGGCGGGTGGCCTTGGCCGCGCCAGCCAATGGGAAGCGCGAGACAGGGGGCTCGACTTGCTAGCGCGCGCTTTAGCCAATCGGCGGTACGGAAGTGGCTTTCAGAAAAGGGGCGAGAGTTGTCATTCTCTTGAGGCGACGCCATATTGAGGGGCCGCAAAATGAGCACAAAGAAATCAGCTTCAAAACAAGACCAAGATGGCGGTGATCGGCTCCCTGCTTCGTCGTCGGTGCGCGCGGGAAGTTTGACCAAATATTCCGTGTTGCGGAGCGTTTCGCGATTACCGTGCCGTTTTGAAATGCGATTTTATTATATTTCCTGATCGAATTCAGTGTTGAAACTTTCATGGCAGGTGCTTATTGGTGCAAACATTCGAAAAATGCGGTTTTCTCAAAAACGATTTTTTGGTCATTTTTGACCATTCTAACACCCGCGTTCCCCCTTCAACGAAATTTCCGCTACAATGAAAAATTCACAATTCCCCGTCAGCAGTCTATAGGAGTCAATGCATAAATATTGTCGCCACAACAAACACTTTTTCTTCAATCGTTCCGCTCCAATGAACATTTACGATGCAATTCCAGGCTCAGATATTCATTGCTATGCAGTAAACCCAATCTTCAACATTTAGAATCATTTTCAGAGCCAGAAAATGCATCAATGAAGTCTAAAACACGCGTTGGCACCACCAGAAACCGCCGCTATACCGCCACTGTTCAGCAAGCATGGGCGCTAGCATTGCTCGATAGTGGTGGCAATGAGACTGCTCTGCTTTTTGTTTTGCCACTGGCTTGCTTTTGAGCCGCAGACGATCCGAAGCTGAAGCTCAGCCGCTCAGTTCATGGTTTTCTTCTTGCAGGTGCTGGGTGCAACCGTGGCACGATGCCTTTTCCGTTTCCGTTGCTTATCATTATGTGCGCGCTTGGCCAGTGTGGCAACTAATCAGAGCGGCTGTTTATCTGCATTATTAACAAAATCAGCTAACAAATAATGCAGAATAATGTTTAGACTCTAGGGATAGCTTGTTATTGGATATGACATGGCTATGGCATTTTTATGGTTAGGGGCAGTCCACAGTTTTAGTAGGTGTCTTGGTTGTGAATAATAATGAGCGTTCAGCAATACGATGCCTCTATAGCACAAATGTGACGGAAAAAATTGAACACTTAACACACTGAGCAGCATTAGCAGTCGGCTCAAAGGACGTGTCAAGTTTCTCGCAAGCCATAACTCCTTGATTCTAGACGCTACTGTGATGGATAGCACGATGAAGCATGACTTTTTAGGTTTTTATTATGTATCGGCCACGACGGCATGGTTCACTGAGTAAAGAGTGCGGGCCTGTCCAGTTGCGGTCACGCAATCGCTGTGCTTGAAGTGTACGCACAGTGTTGAGCCTGCTGGACTCCTTCCAGGTATTAAGGGAAGAGGAAGGGAGTGCCCGTTTGAGTCCGTGCTGCTGCACTCATGACATTTCAGAAGTTCGATGTCTGGGTAGGGCATGCCAGTGTACGGAATAGTGTGTGTTGACGCATGCTGTTGCAGTCTACAATGTGTGCGAAGCGCAAGCTGACCAGCGCACTAGCCCAGTACCCACAAAAGAGTGACCATTGCATGACTGTATTCTCGAACAGCACCATGGCTGGGAAGGCTTCAACGGTGTCGAGCCTGTGGTATTCTGTACAAGCATGAGGGACAGAGTAACTGAGTGCCTGCCTCTGAGTGCATTACATGG